GTACATGGCTCACGCCTCAAGCATTACTGCGACCCGGAACTAGGCAGTACCGCTGAAATTCGCGAGCACGTTGCCGTGCAGGGCATTGTGCTAGGCGTGCGGGACATCATTGACCACCGTTATGACACGACTGCGAAGGAATGGCAGCTTCACGTTGCCTGGCGCGGCCTTGAGGACTCAGAGAATTCGTGGGAGCCATTTTGGGCAATGTATGCAGACGTTCCAGTTCTGGTGACAACGTATGTTAAATCGGTGAACACTCCTGAGTTGACAGCGATGCTGTAACCATCAATTTCAACCTGGCCCTGTCACATGTCACATTTTTCACAAGGCATGGCGATATGGCTACTTTACGTCTTCCAGATTTTCCAGTTTTCTGACATTTTTTCAAGTTTTCCAGTTTTACATTTACCGTGGTCATCTTGGGGGCAGTGTAGTGCATACAGCACCTGTACCAGATGACACAGCGGCAAAAGCAAGTCACAAGTCACAGCGTCACAAGTCACACCTGTCACCCCGTCCCAACAGCGACATCCATCCCAGCCGCCCCTGCAGCGCAAATCCCAGTCTCCAATCGACAGCGGCGGGAAGGAACGTGAGCCTCGAGTTGGTGTGTTACTAGCGCGCGTGCTCTCGGCCCACACGGCCAAGCAACAGCCGAGCAACAAGACAGCAGAGGCCGAGAGGCACGCGCCGATAGGACAACAATGGACAGAGGCACGTGCTGGAAGGGAAGAGGCAGCGACTCAAGGACATCGAGTTTGGCGAGAGGTGTTGTAGTGATAGCGATGCAAATGGACTGACCGACTAACTCTGAATGACACTTCACAATTTACCTTGTTGAGCTCACTTGCCATACTAAACCATCTACTCTTTAATAGCGTCGGTCTCCGTCGCAGCCACGATCACGATCTGTGCGGGCAGCTCAGCAATACTAGCGAGGTGCAGACGCGCAGTAGAAGCAGCGACATCACCTGCATCGAACCCGTTCCGTTCACTTAGACCATCGTGTGCAACCCCACGGCCAGGTCCAGGTCGCGACACCGCCACGAGATATCCGGCTGGCGCACCACATCCAACCGCTCCACCGCGTTCCATACGCCACCACGAATACACCCGAACAACCCCACCGTGCTGCAGATCCGTAATCCGGACCATCAGCGCCATATCTCACTCGCTACGCTACTGCCAGCACACCTGCACGTTGGCCCTCACGCATGTCGAACATCGGCCCGCTCAATGGCGCGTCCGTGAGTTTCCGCGTCCACGGACCAGAACGCCGACCACACGGCAGCGCTGTCAAACAACGCGCCGTCCAAGGTCAGCTCGACCATCGCCAGCAGTGCCTTCCTCACCTTCCCGGCTCTCCACATCATCCACCCGCTGCCGCCGCCCCGCTGTTACCGTTGCTGCATGTGTCCGCCACCCGCACGCCGCCCTTTCGCGGACGTCGCCACCCTTGCTCACCACCTCATTCACTCTGCTCCCTCATGCCTCTTCCACTCTAGCTCGCCGCCGTCGCCACCATTGCCGCCACTCCACTCGCTCGCCGTTCGAACGATCTCTCCCTCTTTCTCCCTAACTTAAAGGAAAAGTGCAATTTTAAGAAATAAATGCACAAATTTTAACAAGTACATGTAGTATTTTTGTTTAAACCACGTTTTATGTTACGGTCGGAGGTTGTCGGAGGTCGGAGATTTTATGTTATGGAAGAAGACGGATGTATAAAAAGATAGAATGTATGAACATTATAAAAAATATTAAACAAATACATATGGAAGTGAATGATAGAGTTGAAAAGAAGTAAAGTTGGGATAGGTAATAAAGAAAAAAATATTAATTTAGTAAATTAATAATGGAAATGGTTGGAAATGGTTTGAAAATGTATTTTAGAAAATTTACATGAAACAACATGTAGGGTAAAAGATCTATTGAAGGACAAGAGTTAGGTCTACTAGACCTTAAACCGAGTTGGTCGGTGCACAAACAGAATCTAAGTATTATAGAGAAAAACGCACGACAATTGTCAAAGACTGACCTCTTTTGCAGATGCATAGCTATTCATCAATGAAGCAGCAAACCATCAGAGAGCTAGCCAAGGCGACACAAGTTTGCCCGAATCGTCGGATTGATCTACATAGTAGAAAGATAATATATCGGAGAAAAAACTTCAGATTTGGAAAGCGCTGAGTACATTTGTAGCTTCTCAGTACGTCATGATCTATTTATAAAACTGAACTCTTCTGCCACTCATTTGGCGCGAATGCGCTGTCATTTTGGCGCCATCGCCTACATCCACTCCATTTACAGCGCTTTCAAGCTCGCTTAAGCTCCATACAGATCCAGATTGTGAGCCATTCATCTAACGCACGCAGCTTTTCTGTACATGTGCTTCTTGGAAGCTCATTTATCAATCTACCATCTCACAAGATGCCCAGAGCTCGAGATCAAAGCGTACCCGCGAGCTGACGGAAGAAGTAGTCGAGCATGGCGTTGCTCGGCTGACCCAATTTGACGAAGCCCGCCAATCTAAACGTGCCACACAAAACCGCACCGCCGTACGCCCTCTTACCAGCTAGCGCCTCGCACACACCTCGTCTAGCACCCACCCAGCCTTTGAACATGTCCAACACAATTCAAACTGACAAGAAAGTTGGACGCGCGCCAGCGATAAATGAACGCTGCCAAACGATCTACCGCGAATCTATCATGCATGAAAGCACAAAAAGGGGTCCGCCAAAGCGACCCCGTCCAGGTCGCTGCTTCGAGCCTGGCAGTGGCCTTGACACTGGGCAGTGGATCTAGCGCGACCACAGTGGATGGGCTCACTGTTCCGGCGGAGCACGTCCAGGTCGCTGCTTCGAGCCTGGCAGTAACCTTGACACTGGCAGTGATCTAGCGCGACACAGTGGATGGCTCACTGTTCGGCGGCAGCAAGTGGAGTGGCGGCAATGGTGACGACGGCGGCGAGCTAGAGTGGAAGAGGCGTGAGGGAGCAGAGTGAATGAGGTGGTGAGCAAGGGTGGCGACGTCCGCGAAAGGGCGGCGTGCGGGTGGCGGACACATGCAGCAACGGTAACAGCGGGGCGGCGGCAGCGGGTGGATGATGTGGAGAGCCGGGAAGGTGAGGAAGGCACTGCTGGCGATGGTCGAGCTGGACGTGGACGGCGCGTTGTTTGACAGCGCTGCCGTGGGGTCGGCGTTCTGGTCCGTGGACGCGGAAACTCACGGACGCGCCATTGAGCGGGCCGATGTTCGACATGCGTGAGGGCCAACGTGCAGGTGTGCTGGCAGTAGCGTAGCGAGTGAGATATGGCGCTGATGGTCCGGATTACGGATCTGCAGCACGGTGGGGTTGTTCGGGTGTATTCGTGGTGGCGTATGGAACGCGGTGGAGCGGTTGGATGTGGTGCGCCAGTCGGATATCTCGTGGCGGTGTCGCGACCTGGACCTGGCCGTGGGGTTGCACACGATGGTCTAAGTGAACGGAACGGGTTCGATGCAGGTGATGTCGCTGCTTCTACTGCGCGTCTGCACCTCGCTAGTATTGCTGAGCTGCCCGCACAGATCGTGATCGTGGCTGCGACGGAGACCGACGCTATTAAAGAGTAGATGGTTTAGTATGGCAAGTGAGCTCAAAAAGGTAAATTGTGAAGTGTCATACAGAGTTAGTCGGTCAGTCCATTTGCATCGCTATCACTACAACACCTCTCGCCAAACTCGATGTCCTTGAGTCGCTGCCTCTTCCCTTCCAGCACGTGCCTCTGTCCATTGTTGTCCTATCGGCGCGTGCCTCTCGGCCTCTGCTGTCTTGTTGCTCGGCTGTTGCTTGGCCGTGTGGGCCGAGAGCACGCGCGCTAGTAACACACCAACTCGAGGCTCACGTTCCTTCCCGCCGCTGTCGATTGGAGACTGGGATTTGCGCTGCAGGGGCGGCTGGGATGGATGTCGCGGTTGGGACGGGGTGACAGGTGTGACTTGTGACGCGGTGACTTGTGACTTGCTTTTGCCGCTGTGTCATCTGGTACAGGTGCTGTATGCACTACACTGCCCCCAAGATGACCACGGTAAATGAAAAAACTGGAAAACTTGAAAAAATGTCAGAAAACTGGAAAATCTGGAAGACGTAAAGTAGCCATATCGCCATGACTTGTGAAAAATGTGACATGTGACAGGGCCAGGTTGAAATTGATGGTTACAGCATCGCTGTCAACTCAGGAGTGTTCACCGATTCAACATACGTTGTCACCAGGACTGGAACGTCTGCATACATTGCCAAAAATGGCTCCCACGAGTTCTCTGAGTCCTCAAACAGTAGTTTGGTGGTCCAAAAGAAGCTCTCCCAGCTGGGTTTGAACCAGCGACCTTGAGGTTAGCAGCCGCACGCTCTACCAACTGAGCTATAGGAGAAGCACGACAAGCTAACCACCGCACCGCTTCGCGAAAACTGCATTCTCAACGAGTACACACGCAACCACACAAAACCGCACCGCCGTACGCCCTCTTACCAGCTAGCGCCTCGCACACACTCCGTCTAGCACCCACGCGGGTCCTCTCGTGGCCAAGTACCCCAATGAGTGGGCGTTACCCACCGACAAGGGATACCAGGGACTGTTATTGCATTTCCGTGCCGTAACCCCGCACAAAAACTGGGAACACGTTTTCAAATGTTCCTTGCGCGCGGTACGCGACGGACGTGACCTTCCAGCAGGCCAATATCCCGTACGGCCTCTGTGAAGGTCGCAGCATCTATTACAGCAGAAAACACAAGCTGCATGGCTACAAAGTAGAAGTTTCCGTGTTGCCGACGGGCAAAGCAATCAACTGCACCAAGCATTACTCGGGGTATGTGTCGGATATCAAGCTATTCCGCAAAAATCAGTGCTTCCACTCCCAGAACACACAGAAGTCCGAAGTGGAGAAGCGTCTACACGACGCGGGTCCTCTCGTGGCCAAGTACCCCAATGAGTGGGCGTTACCCACCGAGAAGGGATACCAGGGACTGTTATTGCATTTCCGTGCCGTAACCCCGCACAAAAAACAGCCAGGTGAGACGCTTTCGATCGAGGAGAGCGACAAAATCGCACACGATCCGTTCTTGTGGAAATTTGTTTTGGTCGTCTAACTACCCTCTGGTCTGTGTGCCCTAACAAGTATCGCGGGGCTGAATCCAGATGCGACACCTTGTTTAAGACGTGCGTCGCTCTCACAAACATCCATGTGCACTTAAATCTGCTTAGGGTTGGGGATTTCGACTCTTACCGCGACTATATTGGCCGCTTACTGTCGATTGGTGAAGAGATGGCCTCTAAGCGCAAGACTTCTCAAAAGCGCTACCGTAGTCGTCGAGACCAGCGCCTCCGGAGCATGTTCCGTGTTCGCCACGAGCTGGAAGAGCCACTATCAATGTGCCATCACAGTGAGAGCAGCTCCAACGACAGTGATGAGACACTGCTTGGTCACTGAGAGCCATCAAAGCTGCACCTGTAGGAAACGAGGGTCAGTACTACAAATGCAATAGCTGTATACGGGTTCTGGCTCTGGCTTAAGTTGTATGGTGCTCAATTGCCAAAAGCGGACTAACATCGGAAATTCCTCATTCTGCTTGAATTGAATTTGCCCTCGCAATTCTTCTTTTTATATTACGATAGTACAGCACACATTTAACTGTGGCTGTTATAACGATAAGAGCTTATCAACTGGGTTTGAGATCTAGTGATGGGTAAAAATGTATAGGAGGGCATTTCCTGCCACCTCCGCCCCGCTTCTAACCTTCTAGTCGGTCCGTCTGTCTGTAAATCGATCCGTCGTTTTCCTTTCTTGAGGCCTTTTTCCTACCTTTTCATATGGCTACACCTGGCATATTTAATACAGAATTCTCCCATCCTACCGACCGCGCCTATCTTTCTGACTCGACCTAACTATGCAAAAATTACCGAAATAGCAAAAACGCCGTACAATTAACTCACGCCTGATTGGGCGATATTTTCCTGACTTATTTTCATTCAAAACACAAAATTGGTTTCCTAGCGACGGCGCGGCGAGGACAAAGTGCGCCGGCTGTATAATAGCAGCAGGGTAGTTTTAGATGTTTTTACGGGCGTGGGGCTCCCTGCCCTACTATATATTCAAGAGAGACCTCTCAGGATACAGTCTGAGGCTTGCCCCGAGACTCCACAGTTGTATGGGGGTTGGTAGCGATAGCAATCAGGCTGGGGTAAGTGTGACGGGGGGTCTTCAACCATGCATGCGCATATGGTCCTAGACCCACCGCGAGTGCCCACGCTCCAAAAGCAGGTGACGCGTGCTCAAACCGAAGTTGCAGCCACATGCG